AAGTATGTAATCTTAGAAAGGAACCTAGTCATAATTGATTCAATTTACATATTATTGTTTGATTTTTGCAAATTACATTTGTTGAAATTGAGTTTTTAAGCAACATAAGCTATTCCTTTTTAGCTTGGTTGATAATACAGGTGTTTGCAATGAGTTTGTCTTCTTGTGTCCCTTTTCGATGTTATGGCTTTTGCTAATAATATGAATATCAATGAATTTTTTCAGGACCCCAAAATTGTTATCTGGGACTCATCAATTAAACCGATAGCAAGTCTGGGCATTTCAATCTTTGCATATGACAAAAAGGTGAAACCATATGTGACAACTATCAGTAGATTGAGTTAGAGGCAACTAAAATGTAAAGCAAATCTTGACTTCTCCTTAAAAAGCTGTGCTTTGAACCATCACCTCTCAACCCCTTCCAAGCTTTGCATTTTGTCCTTTATAATGATGACTAGCTTCCATGATCAATAGGAAGGTTCAGAAGCAGTTAAGTAGCAAGTCGAGCTTGACCCCTGGAAACATGGAGATTTGTAGATAACTGCAAAAGCTTATGGCTCAGTATCTACTGATCGTGGATTTCACTGAAAGTAATCTTTTCATCTTTTACTCAGCTTGAAATGCCCAGGCCTGTCATATGTTTACTATAAGTAGGTAATTTCTGTAAGAAAATAATTTGAGTCAAACTCTAGAACACCAGCCTAAATATATTTTATTTTTGGTTAGAATAGTGAAGGTTGATGCCTCTATTGCATGCATTTACTGTATTTGTCCTATTGATTAAATTCTGCTTACTTTCTGTACTAGTGACAACAACAAAACCCTTCCCAGCTATAGCCTTAATTAAATGTATTGGCTGTAGAACTTGTTTAATTTGCCTAGACTGACTTATTATATTCTCCCTTTATTTTTTTTAATATTCCACTGGAGAAAAGAAAAGGGAAAAAATGGCTACTTGGAGCCATTGGTTCATTCAAAGCATTAGGCATATTCAATAAAATGTGAAATAACCTTTTGTGACCGATTAAGGATCATATTTGACTGATCAAGCTTAAACAAATAAAGATTGCCCCTCATACTTACAAATACTAACAGCAGTTAAAGGTAACCTTCAGTCAGTGGTCCTATATCATCTAGCATCCCAGTCCTTCATTCTTCAGCACTGGAATGTGGGCAGATACTTCTAGAAGCCCCGTGTCTGATCCTGATGATATGGACACTGGTTCTGCTCTCATTACAGTACAGGTCTGAGCTCATTGATAAGAGGTGTATCAGCAAGAGCAGAGCAGACTGAGAGACGTATCATAATAACCAGAATTGGGGAGGAGGAGGCCCACAGAACCAATGAAAAAGGTTAGGTATTACAGGGTATTAGACACTTTATTTCTTCAAATGAGACTTCTGTTTTAGGCTCACTATTTTTACCCAGCCGAGTTGGGCATTAGGTAGAAAAAAAATGGTTGCTGCTTGGTACTGCACTTTGCTCAATCTTTTCTGAACCAGGTACCATTTTAAAAAAAAAAGGGTACATTGTTCCGCAGTTCTCTGTTTTGTCATATGAAGTTTGCTTTAATTATTGTTAGATCATACATTGTATCTGAAATGCATTCTTATTATAATATATAACAAATATCATATCACAACTTAATGTTGTGTGAACCAGAATTGGATATGGCAAAATGTGTTAAGTCACATGCAGTCATTTTCATTTATTTTTACATACTTGTATATGTATGAATGTGAAAAGAATAAATGCAGCACAAATTATTTAAAATCCGTGGCAGACATTGAAGGATCTCCACATCTAAAAACAAATTACATCTTATAAAGAAGCTGATAACAATATGCAATTTTTGTTCCTTAAATATTTTAGATGCATAATACTACAGATTATCCCCAGTTTACATAAAAAAATATATTCTTTTAACATTGTAATGATTTGTGCAATGCCAAGTTTATTGCAGACCTTCAGGGAAATGGAAAACAAAACAAAACAAAAATGATTAAGCTTGACAATATCTACCCAACACCTTAAAGTGACCCTGACAATACAGGGAAACAAAAAAACAATGCCAACCTGTAAAAGAAGATGCTTTATATTTACCTTTGCAGTGACCTGCATATTAAAAAAAAATATTGAGTTGCTAATCTCTGAGTGCTGCAGATATCCAACACCTCTAGGTATGTGAATTCCTTCTTCCATTGCAGACTGTGTATAAGCCAATTAGAGAAACCACTACATTTGGTGGGTGAGTAGGTATTTGATACCCCTAAAGTGTAAAATATCTGCAGTGGCTGGGATTCAACAAAACAGCAAATTTTAAACACACAGGCAGCCTGAAACACAAATATACCATATTCTTTTACAGGCTAGGGTGACAGTGTCACTGTAAGGGGCTTTGATGATCTGAAGATGATGAAATCCATAGTTGGGAACCGCAAAAAATGTAAACTTTAGGCCAAGCAAGCAGATCCCCCCCCTCCAAATGACAGCACTAACTGCTCAGATAAACAGTGCTGCATTTTGAGTACCAAGGAGACTGTCTGTCTATGTCTGGAGGTAGCCATAAGTAAGAAACGGTACTTTGATGGTGCTATATATATTTTCCCCCTACTGGTTTACTATAATGCTAGGGTTTGCTCAAGTCAGCAATGGTTAAAAGCACATTTCCCTTTAGCTTAGTGGAAAGTATTGGCCTGGTGGAAATGGTCCAGTGAATGAAACACAAGCATTTCTCTCTGTCTTATGCAATACCAAGTAAATAATATTTTGATCTTCTCAATATGAAGGTGCAGCGCTTAAAACTAATTATGCAGCGTAAATCTCATCAATATTGTATAGAAATGAGAATATGCAGCTTTAAAAACTGTGCAGCGTGAATAGAACAATAACATATGCTCAGTATGTAGGTATAGATAATAAGCAATACCAGATCAATCAAGAAAATCAACAAATATAAATAAATGTGCATAAATGATGTCACCAATAGGTGAGTAAAGTGCAAAAAAAAGTCCCAGATGTATTGCCCACGTGAGGATCCTGTATGATCCCGATAAGCATGCGTGGAGAGTTAGTCCAAGTGGCAGATATTCAATGTAAATGAAATGCGCACTCACCAGAAGTGCGTGTAAACACGCATTTGAGATATAACCTATCTCAATAGGTATAGTTTAGGTCATCCGCCTCCCCCAGGTCAGGTCAGGATACTTCCCAGTCACATCTGCATGGAGTACTCAGGGGTCCTTGATGCGTATCACCATAGGGGGTCACCCTTAATGCAGCCTCTGAGAATGTCCCTCATGAATAGGGACCAATAAACGAGACCACATAGCGTGATACCGTAGGGAACTTTATTCCATCGATTGAAAAGTGCAATGACAAAGTAAAAAAAAAAAACACTGACCGTATAATGGGAATTCAGGATGGCCACCAGCGGTGGCTAGACGTCTAGTTGCTGTAGCCCCCCTAGGTATCCACTATGTGGTCTCCTTTATTGGTCCCTATCATGAGGGACATTTGCAGAGGCTGCATTAAGGGTGACCCCCTATGGTGATACGCATCAAGGACCCCTGAGTACTCTATGCAGATGTGACTGGGAAGTATCCTGACCTGACCTGGGAGGTGGATGACCTAAACTATACCTATTGAGATAGGTTATATCTCAAATGCGTGTTTACACGCACTTCTGGTGATTGTGCGCATTTCATTTACATTGAATATCTGCCACTTGGACTAACTCTCCACGCATGCTTGTCGGGATCATACAGGATCCTCATGTGGGCAATACATCTGGGACTTTTTTTTGCACTTTACTTACCTATTGGTGACATCATTTATGCACAATTATTTATATTTGTTGATTTTCTTGATTGATCTGGTATTGCTTATTATCTATACCTACATACTGAGCATATGTTATCGATCTATTCACACTGCACAGTTTTTAAAGCTGCATCTTCTCATTTCTATACAATATTGATGAGATTTATGCTGCATATTTAGTTTTTAGCGCTGCACCTTCATATTGAGATTTGCATTGGAAGGCTCTGTTTGGTTGCCTTTTTAGGTGTTTCAGAGGCTATTTTTCTTTCAGATAGCGCTCACATATTTACTTTTTATATACAATATTTTGATCTTATTGCATGAGCCAAGGGAGCTATGAAATTTGCAGGAACATTGGTAATGGAGGTAATGGTAAATATTTTTTGAAAGAACAGAGGACAGCCTCAGTGTTATATATGGTATTAAATAATTCAGGCATAGAGATAAGTGTAATTTTGAGCTTTTGTCTCTTTGAAACTTTAATTTCTGTGATTTACTATTTTGTTGAAAGATATTGAAGTCAATTGGGATGGCACAATTAAGGTGTTTTTCTGGTGGATTTTTTATGTATTTTACAGTTTTAAATTGCTCTTGAAGGTTACCGAACCTTCTTTTAGCAGTAATCTTTTTGTGCCACAAATGGACCCTCAATAGTCTCATTGTTTTAATTTTTTTATTCACAAAAGGAAAAAAAAATACAGCAAGTGGGAAAAAAAGTAAAATAAAGTGGCAGCACACAAATAAAGATCAAATGCACACAGGAAAAGGAAATCATACAAATAAATCTAAATGAAAAATCATAAAATGAATATACTGAATTGATCTCAAGTCACCTCCCCACTCCCAAAAAATAAACCTTAACAAATCAATGAACAAAATTAAAAATTTAGCCAACTGCAAAATCAGTAATTTTGTGGCAAAATACATTTAGCTCAAAAAAATTATCCTTCTAGTCAGGCATTATGTAGCCAGGGCATGATCCATATTAAAAGATTTGTGCAGCTTTCGTCTTGCCCTGTCTTCAACAGTATAGGCTATGCATAGGGTGGGATTACTTGATGTCAGTTGTGTATGGGAATTATTTTTTCCCAACAATTACTTTTTATTTGGGGATCTGTGAGTTTGAGACCATGGCCCGCACCCACCTGGTCAACTTCCATCTTTCTTGACTGCGCAGGAAGCCACTCCTGGCCATCCTTGGAAGACGGACAACTCACGAATCCCATTGCAGAACCCTTTACCTGTGTCCCATTGGCTTCCTGTGCAGGAATGCACAGTGGAATCTGACCTAGATGATATAGGCTGCATCCCACAGACTCACAAAACCCCACAAAAAAGGTAATGTAATTTGCTTTTTTATTAAGAAAAATGTGTTATTTAATTATGTAAACTACACTAAAAGGCATTGAAACAAATGTCCTTTGAAACAAGCTTACATTTAAACAATGTTGAAACTGAATTTGTTTATAGAAGGCAGTAGAGGTTGAATAAAAAGATAACTGTCTACATATTCACAGTGGCATTATCAATTTTACGTGTCAAAATTTGAATTCATTGGCTGGCCATGAATTAAGCTTCAGAAAATTCACCAGATATCTCCATGTTTTTTTTCCCAATCATTTGTTGTCCATTCATCCAAAACTTTGATCAATGGTAGTAAAGCAGTGGAGAAACCGCTCAAGTGGAAATATCCTGTAAATGTAGTTCATGTATTTTGATTTTGATGCATAGTTTACCTCTAGAGCATATTGTACATGATAAATATTAAAATCAATTGCATTTTTATAATGACAAACAAAAGAAAATCAGGGAAGTGCACACCTTGCACAGTTAAACCTTTAATGATCCAATTATAAAAATCAACAATGGTTGCAATCACATATTTCATAAACTAAAAGTGCTTTGAATGCAGTCCTATCTTGCTGAAGTTGTAGAACCACTCACATCATGGCCAGAGATGTCCAGTGATTGCTCAGCATGAAGTTTGAATCTCTCACTGGAAACTTACAGACTGAAACAATTCAGATTTTCACTTGGTTCAGCTTCATGTCAGAGTCTGCTGTTACTAGGCTCACAAGGGTCACTCCAGTGGATGTGCCTACCTGTTTGTTTGTTTTTTTGGGGGGGGTGTCCCCCTTTGTAAAACATTTCTGCATTTCACAGGACAACCCCCTAAAAAAGGGTTAACCCATATCATACTGACTGAAACCATCCAATAATATTGGATACAATGTATCTTTCAATGTATGGGAGGAAAACAAAAATAATTCATTATTTTTAAAATATGTACGGTATATAAAATAAATAATATAAATTACAGCATCCACAAAAACTGCTTATCCACAAAGTAGCTCTCTCTCTTTCTCTCTCTCTCTATATATATATCTCTCTCTCTATATATATATATATATATATATATATATATATATATGTGTATATATATATATATATACATATATGTATACACACACTGTGTGTGTGTATATATATATATATATATATATATATATAAAGATTCAGGATTTGGCAAAAGCGTAGATTCCCAGCTGGTTGCCATCAAGAACTGTGGGATTAGAATGATTATAATAACATAAAAGTACCATTTTAATAAATTAGATTACATAGGTGTATAAAATTGCTGTAATATTACTTTATAGTTTACAGATTGATAAATTATATGTAAATGTCTGTATGTGAAAAGAAGGGAAAAAGACAGACAAATTATACAAGAACTACTAAACTTTCAAATAATACTATACAGCCTTATAAAAGGTCATAAAAAAATTGCATATTTCTAAATCTTCATTTAGTCCTCCTGGAGACACACTGTTTAAAATAAATATCTAGTAAGATGTTTTAACACTGTTCATAAAAAAAATGCTCTTTTCATTAGGATTGAAAGGAATGGCCTCTACACTGAACAATTTTAGACAATTGATATACCTTCAATGAGAATAGCGAGCTCATTGTTCGCACTGCAGATAAAGGGGGGAGGGTGGCATTGTGTTATAAGATCGACATGATTACAGTATATAGCCAAGGCCAACTGCTTAAAATGGTGAACCAAGCATATTGAAAGAGTGTTTTTTTAAACTGTGACATAAAGAGACCTACTGGATATTGACTTTAAACAGTATGTTTCCAGGGGGTCTAAATGAAGATTAAGAAATGGGCATCTTATTATGACATTCTATAGAATTATTTAGTATTATTTGATATCTGAAATTATATATTTATATACATTTTTTTTTTAATCATGATTGTTTGTTTTTTGTATATTTGGATTAATAGCGCTGCACTGATTAATGATCAATGATCAACTCTTACTAGGTTTGGTGATATCACTAGTGGTGTTAGCGAGCTGTCACTGGTTGTATTGAGTTACACAATTTTCATGGTATTTTCTTTATTATACAGTTGATTTTTCATTATTTTATGTCATGGGTTAACCCCTTATTTAGGAGGGTGCCCTGTGCAACAATTGTTGATTTTAATACTTGGATCATTAAAGGTTTAAATGTGCAAGGTGTGTGCTTCATTGTTTTTATCTTGTTTGTCTTTTGCTCACATCAAGTGCATTCCATTGTGCATGGTGTAATCATGGAAAGCTGCAGAAAACTATGCTTCAGTTCTTATCAAAGACTTGGGACTATATTCAAATACTCATCAATCATCATTTGTTCTATTTTTTTGTCACACTGCTGGTGGTCTTGTTTTAATCTGGCATGTAGCGCATAGAATGTTACTTTTTTATTTGTAGTTACATATTAACAGATGTTCTGGATACAAAAACTCATAATATATGAAGGAAAGAAAAATCATACAATCTGTAAAAAAGCTTATGGCACAGACATTGCCTGAAATGCATTATATATATATATAAAAACTACTGTATATAATTAGGTATATATACTCCCAGTGGAGGTTTACAAGGACGGCGGTGTCGACAAACTCACTTTGCTGTTCCAGTCCTTTCTGGTATCAAGGATCCATTCCTCAGAAACTGAAAGATTTGTCGATCGTACATCTCTACAAGAGGAAAGGGAATCAACAAGTCTGTGATAATCATAGAGAAATATCACTGCATTCCATCTCAGGCGAGATCCTTGCACGAGTGTTGCTGAACCGCCTGATTGACCACCTAGAACAGGGTTTATTACCCAAGACACAGCGCGGTTTCCACAAAGACCGTGGCGCTGTGGACATGATATTCACAGACCGATAGCTCCAAGAGAAGTGTCAAGAGCAGAACCATGAATTGTACACCACCTTCGTGGATCTCACCAAGGCTTTTGACACTGTCAGTCACGAAGGTCTGTGGCGCATCATGTCGAAGTTTGGGTGGCCTGATAGATTGATCCTAATGGTACGCCAGCTCTATGATGGTATGATGGCTCACGTTTTGGACGAAGGAGAAGTTTCAGAGGCCTTTCCCATTACAAACGGTGTCAAGCAAGGTTGTGTGCTGGCACCAACTCTGTTCAGCTTAATGTTTTCAGCCATGCTGTCAGACTCCTTCCAGAACAATTCCCTGGGAGTTAGCCTGAGATACAGGACCGGCGGGAAACTGTTAAACCTAAGAAGACTCCAGGCTGTCGCCAAGGTGAAGCAGATTGTGCTACGAGACCTCCTTTTTGCTGATGACTGTGCCCTGAATGCTGGATCAGTGCAGGAAATGCAAGCCAGCGTGGACAAATTTGCAGCAGCATGCAACAACTTTGGCCGCCTCATCAACACAAATAAGATCAAAGTGATGCATCAGCCAGCTCCGAAAACCCAACACCAAGAGCCTACCATCACAGTGGAGGGACAAAATCTGCAAGCAGTGGACCAATTTTCATACCTTGGCAGTGCCCTATCCCGTGCAGTGACAATTGACTTTGAGGTCACCTGCAGATTAGCCAAGGTAAGCTCTGCATTTGGCAGACTACTGACCAATGTGTGGGACTGCCATGGAATAAACCTTGCAACAAAGCTCAAAGTCTACTGAGCAGTAGTGCTAACTACCCTGATGTATGCCAGTGAGACATGGACTTTATACAGGAGGCATGCTAGGCAATTGAACCACTTCCACATGACCTGCCTCCGCAGACTTCTGAGGATCTGTTGACAAGACAAGGAGCCAGACACAGAAGTCCTCTCCAGACCATGCCTGCCATCAGTTCACACCCTGCTGATGAAAGCCCAGACTCGCTAGGCAGGCCATGATGCAAGGATGCCAGACCACTGCATTTAAAGACTCCTTCCAGTCCCTGGATATTGACATCACCTCCAGGGAAACCCTGGCACAAGATCAATTCGAAATGGCACACGTTGATCCACCAAGGCTGCCAAACATTTGAGGAGAGAATAAAAACCATAGCACAAGGGAAGCAAGCACTCCGCAAAGCCAGAGCTGCAATAGTGGTACCAAGGGGCAGACTGACCATTTGGAAACTTGGGCACTGCCTGAGGGCCCGGGGTCAGTAGGGGGCCCCATGAGATGCCCCTGGTACCTTTTTCATAGGCTTTTTTGAGTTTGGGCAAGGACACAGGGACCCCATGATCCCTTGTCAGTCCGCCCCTGGTGGTACCCACATATGTCTGCCCGACATGTGGCAGAACATTTTGTGCCCGTATACGCCTTACCAGCCACCTACGGACACACCGTGGACAGACCACTACCTGTTAGATGTCAAGGTCATCTTCGAACATGATGGACGAACATTATCATATACACACACAGATACACAGTATATAGTGTGTGTGTATGTATATATATATATATATATATACACACACACACAGCATATAGTATATATAGCTGTAAAATAAAAATAGTGAAGTGACAGTTCACAAATACCAATCTCACACAATATTTTACTGAAATCTCTTTAGTTACAAGAAAAAGTTTTAACCCCTTAAGGGGTTTGAGATGCCAGGAGGTGTGACGTGGTTTCTGATCATGTAAAAATTGTGATTGGCTATCACAGTGGTCACATGATCGAAAAGCTCCCGATTGCAAATAGTGATCTGGATCTTTCCGTAAGTGCAAAGAACAGAGGTATACCGCTCAGGCAAACAATCCAGATCAATCCACAACAGGTTCAGGCTCTGGCTCACCACACACACACAAAGCAATAGGAAGAAGGGTCAGCTGCACACCGGACATGAATACAGGACCTGTTAACACATTTCACATGATCTCCTGCTTAATCATAACCTCTTTCCGTTAGCTGCAAGAAACTGTATCGGGAGTGCACAGGGCAGGCACTATTAGCAAAGCTTTGTTTATCATTAGGTATGCATATATACAGTCTCTGGACAATGAGGCCCACCCACTGAGAGGCCACACATAT